CCCCATATTCAGGTCACAGCCATGAGGCGATTGAAACGACATTTCCTCATGGCTGTGGCCTACTTTTATATAAGCTGGGGCAATGCTTGCTTGCTTTTTGCTGGATATGAATACTGCATCTTGCTCATCGACTTCCAGGTCTTTGGACTTGAACCAGTTGTCGGGCACCTTGCTTATCATCTGACTGCCAACCTCCTATTTCTGCAGCTAAGAAATGTTCCTGCTTCTCTGGGTTGGGTTCATCGGCCTCCAAAACTATATGAGTCTAAAGAAAACTCCAGCTTAACATCTGACCCACAGACTAGGAAATTAACTGGACTTTCCCATTTCTACACTGTCTGAGCCATTTTGTTGAAATATTCCTCTCCTTTTCTCTCTCTCCTGATAGATAGGTAGACAGATAATTATTTTTGCTTTTCTAGGGAACCCAGCCTAACACTCCAAATATTTTGTGAAATTAGGTCATACCACACATTATTCTTTCTATTTTTCTACTTCATAAATGATGTAACCAGATACCTAATTTGGGGAGGGAAAAAATGAGTTTACCTTTAAGTTCTGGTTTAACAAACCAAATTGAAATTGATTCTTTTGTCTCTCCTACATACCTACTTACTCAAATCAAATCAAAAGGCAAGACCTTCCCCCAACTGTACCCACCTGAGAAACACTTCAGCTTTGGCTCCAAGAGTTCTTGATGGGCATGGAGATGTTGAACACACACAATGCTGAGCTAGCTTTGATTGAATCATGTGATTTTTCTCTTTCTAATACCTTCCCAGAAGTTTGAGTGGAGGAGTCTGTACATAGGTCTTCTACTTCATCCCAAGCTAAAATGACATTGATCCTTTGTATTGAATTCTCTCAAAAATGTAATTGATACAGAATCTGTGTATCAAGGTTTGGCCATGCAATGAGCACTTAATGTTTCTCAGCATCTGTCCTATTCATGTCTGGCAGTCAGCCTCCCCAACGTGTGATTTCAAGCACATGTGCAGTGGGACGGTTATTATCCAAATTTTCCCATTTACAGTCAATAATTCTCAATCTCTGACCTTTTATTTTATGAGTTATATTGGAGGTATTTTTTAAATATATAGGAGGTATGTATGTAAGAAGTATTCTTGTCCCATACTGGATTTGAATCTGAAAGCCTATCAAGTTGGAATAGTCCCCATCATTTTGTAACTATGAGAGAAGAACATGGAGCGAATCACTTAAAATGGATCCCAGAAATGAAGAGAGATAAGCCTGACCCCTCTGGTATTGCTGGATCAAGTGGTACGTTAAGCTGGTTAATACACAATTTTTTGATTATGATGACCAATAAATCTTTTTTCCTCTTCCCTTTAAGGTATTTGGATGAAGTGTTGTACTATCAGCAACTGAAAAATACTGACTGAAATGTAATGCTAATGCTATTCCTTCATCCTTGCTTCACTGGGTGCCATTCAGCTTCACTTTAGAGTGCATCATCTGCAAATGTATGGACTACTGCCTGCGTAACTTTGAATTTCCTTCCAGTTCTATCATTCTATGGTCTTCCTGTGGTTGGTAGCCGTCTTAATAACTTTTTACGTTTAACTCTGGGCTAAGAATGTATTTCTTAAAAAATCTTTACAATTGTGGTAAAAGTACTTTCCACAATTCTACTTACTGAACCTCAGGTCAGGCAACTGGGATTAATAAATTTTATTAATAGCTTTTAATTTCTGTGCCATAAATTAAAGCAGCTATTTACACACATGTGATTGGGGATTAGTTGGCCTCAATTCTCTATGATAGTTGAGAAAATGTGAAGCCAAGAAAATGATTTCTTTTTAAATATATATGTTCTCATTTTATAACACAATTTGGTTCACTGAAGTAAGCATATTCATTTGACAGCAGAAAAATAAAACAAAATAATGAATTATGGGCAGTAGAAATGTCTTTCTCCTTTCCCTTCTTCATTCCCATCAGTTGTCTTCTTTCTTTCCTTCAAAAAATATACAGACAGGATGGTAGGCATGCTGCAAAAAATCCAAAATAAAACAAAGCATACAAAGCAAAGATGTTTCCATGGAAATTTATATTGTAGTGAGGGAAACAGATATAATTAAATAACCTTATCAATGATTATAATGAAAAATGACAATTTAAAGAACATGGATGGTACTTTGAAAATATGAAACAAAGTAACTGATATAGGGAAGAAGCATTTTCATAAACCAATACTATTCCAACTACTATCCATAGCACAAGTGCAAATCAAAGGTGAGGGAATGAGTGGTGCTAATTCACTAGACAAGGGAACAGCACTGGTGGTTCTGAATTGGTAACAAGCATAGCAGGTTTAAAGGGTGAAAAAGACCAACTTGGTTCAAGTCCAGATATGCAAAGGGAAAGTGGATAAAATGGAAGCTGGAGAGATAGAGACAATCATCATCCAAGACTGTGTCAATTATGTGTAGGGTTCCTAAGAACAATGTCAAGACGCTAAAATTGGAAATGAGCTCAATTAGAACAATCCAGCAGTAAACTATAGATCAAGGTGGTTTGTACTTTGGGAAAGGAGGTTGATGGGAAAGTACAAAAGTCAAGATAAACAAGAGGTAAATGAACAATATTTCTTGACATTTCATATCTTGTTTACCCTTAAATCCTCAGAATCTAGCACAATGCACAATTTAATAAAAGAAAGCTAATTGTTGGATTGAAATATAACAATGACTCATGCATTATTTGATTTAAGGAGACCTGACTCAACAGAGATAATTTTTAAATAAATATTGATATAGTCAACCCAATTATATGTTCTCCTTTAGAAAATGTTAATCTTGGCCCAGTAAAACATAGAATTGAGCAATTATAAGCCAATGTGGCTTAGTTAGATTTATATCCCTTCATCTTGCATTTAGCTGTGTAGACCATTACTGACTGTGGTTTTCAGTTTAAGTGCTGGA